TTGGTTGGAGACAGCTGCAGGGCCTGAAGACTGAGCTGATACTGTGCCTGGCCCCCCTGGAAGTGGTCCAGTGTGGAGTTATAAAGGAATGTAGGAACTGCGGTTTTGGCAGCTGTACTCTGATAAATGTTGTGAAACAGAGAAAAGTATGCATGTTTTTTAAGGCCATATGCTGCAGGGATGTGGCTCTAGTGCCATTGACAGTCCTTATTCAAAACATGTTTTATCCAGCTTATGTCTGAAACACTGGCTCCCTTCACTATATGCAAGACTGAGTACATAATACAGAAGCTTAACCAATGAAAAGAATGAAAAGAATGGAGCTTAAGTCCTGCAGAGGACTGTTCCACCTCATAGAACAAGGAAATGTGTTCCAATTGATGTGGTCCATCAAGTCAGGTCTGCTTTATTCCCTGCGGAGGCACCCAGAGGCAGGCACCTCCACAGCCTCAAGAGCAGCTGACCACATCCCTGGAACAATGACCTCAATAAACTCAAACATGGGTCCATTTGCTCAAAGAGAAGCACCAGGGGGGAAATAGGAAAGGTGTAGCAAATCAGAAATTAGCTCTCTGAGGCTTGGAGGGGAAACATTACAAATGGACTGTTCAACACATAAATCAATTTTTTGTATTTACCACTTGCTATCCAGAAATCCATCTCAACATTCACAGTGGAAGGTGCGGGTTCCAGGAATGAGGATTAATGAGCGCAGGATGGCACAGTCACCATTGTGTCGCCTGTTGTATTATGACAGTGGACTCCCAAGAGTGTCTTACAAGGCAGCAAGGTGTGCGCTGGTGGCTGCTGCACACTGCAGACCACTGCATCACGGTGCGAGAAAGAGACGACCAGCATTCCAGGAAGCTCTTCCTTCTGTCCTCCATCTCTGTCCGGCTCTCCCAACGGGAGGCAGTGGACTGGGATTAACAGAGCAAGTACAGCACATAAATTTTAGCCGTATTGCTGAGTCGATGTTCCCCACGCTACCGCCCCTCCTTACTTGACCCAATCCCCCGCCCCCACCTTATCTTTTCACGCCCCAGGAGGATGGGCCAGGGGGGCCGGCCACGCAGCCGCATCACGTTCCACTCGGCATGCTGGGCCGTAAATACAGCGCAGCATCAGGAACAGCAGGTGCTATCACTCCCTATCATTAATTATCCCTGCTGCATCACTCTAGGGCCTCTCACGACTCCACATCTCCAAATCTCTATCTCCTGCACCGTCTTATTCTCCAGCCTCCAACCCTTCCCCATTTTCTCTCACTCAAATTCCAATGTCTACAGCAATCCCATTTCTTCTCCGCAATACCAACCCATCTATCTACTTATTTCCTACGATCCTACAGTCTAGCCTCCATTCATTTGTTCCCTGATGCATCTCAATCTTTGTCCAGCACTCTCAGCTTCCCCCGAGTGAGTCTTCCCCCCCAGTGACAGCCTCGCCGGCTCTCTTCTCTCCTCAGATGTGTGTCTTCCAGCGCTTCTCTTCACATTCTGACGGGTTTTCCCCTGCTGTAAATGTATTCCGAAACTGCTGTGCTGCTGCCAGCCATGAGACGTCGCTGGGACTGATGGAGCACTGGGGGGAGAGAGATAGCCCTTTCCCCCCCACCACCACCACCAGTGAGCTCATAAATAATACCAAATCAAAGAGGAAAAGCAGCATGAGAATATCCCGGAGGTAAGAAGTCAGTGAGCATGGTCAGAGATGTACGAGTGCGCCTGCTGATGGCAAAAGTCAGAGCTCCCAGCGAGTCTGGCCACAGAAACATGAGCAGGGCATCCTGTCCCTCTCAGGTGAGAAGGCCTTATGTCAACTGTATGAAGCCCGCAGAAACATCTGGCAAGACCACAAAAACAAACACTAACTTCCTTCTGACGTGGTCACACTGCCACAAGGCATAATGTGAACTCTGAACGCAGGAGTCTGGTTTGTAATGTGAGACCATCCAACATATTAACAGGTTGTGAGCAATCCTGCTCAAGATAACGTGATGTTCTGGCAATCTGGCAGCAAAAAAAAAAACAGAAGCATGCAACGTTTTTTTAGCCAAAAAGATTCATGGACAAGGAAAAAGACTTTATGTCTGACAGACTGAAACTTGCCAAGCCGCTGGAGTCCATAATTAATGTCCAAACCTCTTTGGAGTTGTACACACACATGCACAAACATATGAAGACATAAAAAGCAGTGTTTCTCTAACCTTAAAACCAACAACAGCTTCTTCACTATCTGAAAGTAAACTGGTGGTTTTCATAAATTTCAGTGCAGGCATACTGCCATCTCTTACCTGACTCACTGAGTTACCTCCCCCCTAGGACAGGTACGATCCATATTTCTTAATATTTACTTACTTTCCTCTAATGCAACACAACCAAAGACGACTGCAGTGGTTGCCGCTGTACACCTACTCAACCCCACAGCAAAAAAAAAGTCACTCATAGAAGGGAAAGGATCCACCTGTACGCTGCTGCACTTGGCTTTTAAGCCCATCAAAAAGCTATCTCTGCAGAAGACATTGATTAACGTAGGACAAACAGCCTCGTCTAGCCATTACCAGAAAAACAAGTCCATAGCAGCCTTGAATCATACGCCTCCCCTTCCATGTCTCAACATTGTATAACAGAACATCTTTCCTAATCGGCTCGGTTGTTCAGAGCAACTCCATCAAATCACAGGAAGAGAAAGTTAATCACACAATCCCCTGAAGAAAAAAAAAAAAGGTGTTTTATTCTCATTCTCTTCCCAGAACACACAAGCTTTCTGCCAGCAACATTAAAGGAACTGTGCTCTTCTATTCAACATTTGAAATTTTGAGTCATTAGTGTAATCCATTATGAGGAGGTGGAGTGGACACTCATCCTGAATCAATACGATTCTCCTACACTTTCTATTGATTCCTATCGCTCCACAAGTGTAGTGGAGAGACTGATTGAAAAGCTGATAAACAAGACGCAAGAACAGGGGGGAAAAAAAAAAATCAAGCGTCTTTTGTGACAGTATTGTATGTGTGTATATGTGTGTGTGTTTTCTAAAGTGAGAACTGTATTCTGAAGAAATTGCTTTCCTTACAATGCAAAGCACAATAGCTGTTTTTTCATTCCAGCGTCCTATCTGCTACTTGCAATATCCAGATCAGAGAACATCCTTGGCAGTGAACCAGAGTTCAGGGTGAAGGGACAATGTCAGACACGTGCAAAAACCCACACTGTGTGCGTGGCAAGTAATTCAAAATATTGAACACTGCTCTGTGGGTCCATGTTTCCTGCTCTAAGTGCTTGTGCTCATACATATGCATCTGGCATCCAACATCACCAACAGGTTAATTAATCAACATCACACAAAACAGAGCAACCATTTTCTCCTGTGATGAGAGCCACCAAAAAATGAGTGATCCAGCGCGCTCACCTCGGTGAAATTTATGGAGAATGAGCTACACGTGAAGGACGGCGTTACTTTTATGATATTTCAAGTTGAGCACATATGACTGCAGCGTGGTGAGGAATCAGTTCCTGCAGCGAGGAAAGGCTTTTAGTCCTCAAAGGGGGGTCTCATGGATGATTCTGGCAGATACACCGCACAGCTGTAGAAATCATTAGGGCGTGCTCACAGCATTTATTTTCTCTGTAGATAATTCGACATTAAGGAGCTTGGTTTTGATAATTTGCTTTCATCTCATCTTTCAGGATGAGATAATCCACATTAATGACACTTCTGATGCAGAACAAACAGCACAGAGGCGTTAATTTGGAAGGCAGCACACTGTAGGTCACCAACACTGAAGGAATACCACCAGTACTGGTAGTAGTTACATGTTCTCTGGCATCGGTTAGTAGTTGTAGTTTACACTGGGTAGTTATAAAGAGAGAAAATCATCATCATGTTTCAGCTGAGCAGGGAAAAATATCTGGGCCACGAGGAAAAATCTTGTAAATGTCTCTGCTGCTGCTTAACAGAGTCTTTAGGGAAAGTTATAGGAAAGTTAGAATGATCCCAAACAACTGATAAATGAACGAAAAACCTTACTCATCCCTTCATTTTCCCTTTTTTTTGACTCTACACCAGTGCAACTGCTCACTCCTGCAAACCAACACTGTTTCTTGTCAGACAAGTGCCCCCTGCTGGTAGAAATCCTAAAGCATAGGCATTTTTTTTTGTACTACCAATTTTTTTATAGACCCCAGATGATTTTCAGCTATTTTTCCATGCTGTAATACCCTGAGGCTATGAAAATGGAGCAATAAGAGAAAGCAATAACAACACAGACTTGAAGAGAAAATGTATGTCTAATCATGGAAACAAGAAAGCAGGACACATGTTCTCTACTCTTCTCAAATGCTCATCAAAAAAAGAAGAGGTGCCGGTTCATTCGGAAACTTTTAGGTGCTTTTTTTTTTTTTTTTTTTTTGCAGAATGCTTCAATTTCAAGGTTATTTTCCATTCTGACACTGGATTGGAGCGTGTGTGTGCCAGCAAGTCCAGAGGTTTCCTCCCACATACATTAATCACTGATGTCTTGATTAGTCCAGATCAAGAATGTAGGCCTGTCTGCTGCTGTAATGAGGTGCACAACATACAAAACATGCAAAACACAGGTCAGAGGAGAATAGATTAACAGTCATGCACGTAGGTTAATAAATCGTATACCCTATGATGTGTACTATTGATGCACAAGTATGTAGGTTATATGTAGAGCAGCGCATATTAGTGGATTACTGTCCCTCTCTCATCACCATTTACACAGACTGGGACAGAAAATGTGCCCAAAAGATCAAAGTAGAAAGAGAATGGAAACTTCTGCTTTAGTTACACTTCAGTGTAGTTCAGTACAGTACAGAGCAGATTACTACTATTAATAGGTTTAATCATTTGTAGTAAAGGAGCAGACAGAGCAGCAGTCTGTGGCCGAGCCCCCTCTTTCCAACTTGTGATCTACCACAGAAAGCTTATTTATCGTCATAACTGAGGGGGGGAAATACATCAGACAGACTCACCTTCTTCCGGGGCTGCCATTTCATCATATTTGTAAACCAAAATTGAACAGCATTAAGATATTATATGAGAATGGAATGTAGATTCAAAGAAATCCAGAGCGCAAGTCATGCTGCCTCCCGACTTCCCTCGATTTTGCAGCAGATTTTCTCCAAGAAGCGATGCATGATGGTGTGCGAGTCTCAGCTTTGCGGCAAATTTTTTTTTTTCCTTGTTTTTTTGAGACAGCACAGTCAACAGAAATCATACAGCGGTTAAATCCACAGTTGAGCTCGGAGAATAAATCAGAGCCACATAGTGTCGACTGACAACGCTCGGGTGAATGGTTCCTGTGCGTAAATCCAAAGTAGGAGTCAGTTAGGAACCCACTCCCTCCTCACTCGGCACGCAGGATCGGCGCCTCCGGGACCAATCCGGACGGTGTATGAGGAAAAAATTGATTCTTAAACTTTTTTCAAAACGAGGTCGTCCCTGAAATTAGGTTACACCGTTAGTCCGGCGCGATATGGATAAACTATGTCCAATCTGTCCTCTTCGATCCCGAGGAAACGACAGGAAGACGAAATGTGTGCCAAAAACGCAGAAATATTCATCACAGTGGTCAAATCCCGTTTTCCAGAGGTCGAAACACACTTTTTTTTGGAAGTACTCGTGGAGAAATAGTCAAACAGAGCCCGGCGGAGACGGAGCGACAAGCAGGGAGATTACTTTCAGGAGAAGGAGGAGGGGGATACAAGCAGCAAGAAAAGAAAAAAAAAATCCCTGGAATTTCTGCGAGGAGCTGGAAGGATATCCTGATTCCTGCAACAGCAACAAACTGGACTACAGCTCTCTGATGACTTCCTTCCCTGCGCTCCTCCAGCCTCGCAGTTTACAGACTTGGAGCTGAGCAGGCAGAAGGTAGCTGGGTCATAGCGCCGCCGGCCGCAGACGTGCCAAAAAAGTGCGCTTTGCGTTTACGCACTGAAGCTGATGCTGCCGCCCAGACAGGAGGCGGGCTGTGGTTTGGTGCGTTGCTCAAGGACATTTTCCCAGGTCCTAAAACTCTAACAGTCTCTGTAACCACGTGCCAATCTGCTGTGCTCGTCCCACTTGTATGTATGTTTGCAAGACGCTGACTTGGAGTTTGGTGATTTAAGAATAAAAATCCCGGCACCCAAGCGAGAAATACATTTGGTCACAAAGTTAAATATGCTGATATACTGGATTAATAATTGTAATTTGATAGCACCTCAATGAACATGGTGCAACAACCTATAAATAGCCCACTTTAAATATAGTCACCCCATAGGTGTTTTAATGCCATATCTTCAGTGGCATCACTATCATTTGGCATCACATTTATTTGCCATCCGTGCAACCGTTTGCTACTATATTTATATTTTTTTTCCTCATACCAAAAATGTTACTGCTGTCAATTTTTCTGGAAACTCACAGTGCATCTTCTCAGCTACTCCATGTATGTACTGCAATGCACGAGCTCATAACAGTTTAAAAGGCTGTTAATGACCGAAGAGAATCCCAATAACTTCATATTCTGCTGCTGCAGTGCTTCTCTATCAGTAGAAACTACCTGTCCTTGATTATTTCTTCGTGGAAATAGCAGATTGCTTTCATGCATAAAAGGCACAATTCACAAAGGGACAGAGAACCTTGGACAACGGAGACAGCTACAGCCCTGTTTATGTACACTTTCCCCGTTTCCTCCTGCTGAGAGCAGCTGTCACATACACTATACCGTGCAATATTTTACTTCGCATCGCCATCAAATGCATAAAATTGCCAAAGCTTTTCTTTCAGGAATTGTTTGGCTCGAGTGAGAAAATATCTGCAGCTCTTTTCTGCTGCTTGAACTGGCTTTTAATCATTAATTCTGAAAAAAAGTGGGATGTATAAAATAGAAAACAGAGACATGGTTATTGTGGTAAGAGGCCACTCACCACAATCACTGCCACAGTTATAGAATGAAAACAGTTCCAAAGCAGAATGGCTATCATCAGTTGAAACAGATTTACTGGTGCTGAACCCAGTTGCTTCAGTAGAAAACACACAGAATAATCATCACTGGATATGTGACAGCAGGAACCGCAACATTAACAGGAAGGTTCTTTATTGTCGGGGAATTATCTCAAAATAGAAGAAAGGCAAATTAAGGAAATGGTCGATACTGAAGCGCGGTGAAGTCGGTTTAAACAATAGCCTTTGATTTAAATTGGTTTAGGTAATGGAGTCTATGGAGCTGTGAGGTGGTCAATAAGCCGGTGTGTCCTCAGGGTCAGTGGGTTCCGCAGTGCTCCTCGGGGTCACTCAGATAACAAAAGACAAGTAGGAGGATGGGACAAGCTGACATATGGCCTCATGGACAAACTCCTGCTGTGCAGAGGCAGTCCACGACACACTTTGTAATCCACATGGATGAACATGAACAAAATGTTTGACAGGACACCCGCATCCACAGCTGGCCCTGTGATCAAAGACCACATTTGTAGTCAAAGACGGAGGGGTTACTGCATGCGTATGTGTTCCAGTATCAATATTTCGAATCGCCTTATTATCAGATGAGTCCTGTTGGGTCTGCGCTACACACCACACCACTAAGACAAAGTACTATTTACATGTTCTCTTTCAACCACACACTCCCACATTGAAGTCCCACCATCACAAACAGGTTTACACAAGAGACTGTTTCACAAAAGGCATTTTTGATGACCAATCAAAGGCCACTTCACTGCGCTGTTCAGCAGCAGCCTTTCTCGTAGTGAAGCCTGTCATCTGGCATCTCCATACAGAAGCAGGCTCCCTGTGCGTGCCTCTGCTTTCCCAATCACAGCCGCACAGGAAATCAGACTCCAGCCTTCAGAGGGAAACAAAAACCCCCTCTTTCAATTTTCCACAACTTGGAGCTGTTTAAAAGTTTGTGCTTCCTTTTCTTGTTCTTGCCAATCATGCCCTCAAAAATGTCTCAACTGTGTGTTTTGCTCAGGGGCGGGCGAGTTAGGCTAGTCTGCAGACTTAGCTTTGCTTGCAGAGTAAGTTAAGATTGACTCATGTTAGGCATTAAAGTTCATCACAGCACCACTTTCAACAGCCAAAACATGACTTATTTTGAAGTCTGTACTTATGTAATACAATATGAAAACAATAATACTGTCACTAAGTAATATGAAGTGAAATACTTTATAGAGGCCCCACTCTGAATGCCACTGCCATTGCTTCACTTAATCGTAAAATGTTTCTAGTAAAATGCCCTGTAACTGTTACATTTTTCCACAAGACGCACACTTTCTGCTGAAATGAACAGAGGTAGTAGTTTAGAGAGTCTTTATTTGCCTGCACGTAGTAAATCACTTCCATTACAAGATTGTCAAATATTAGACAGCTTTGTGGAACCCGTGAATTTTAATGTCTAACTGAAATCTACCTTCATAAAACCTTCTTATCTGATGTGCATAAATACAGTTTTGAGCCCCGCAGTTTATTTCCATGCACGTATCTGTCTGCTTGCCTGTTTATTAGTCCACATGATGTAAAAAGTGCATCACCCGCATGATGATAACACAGGCTGTTTGGGGGAGAAAAATAACTGTCAAAAAGGTTTTAAAAACCCCCACTCCAGAGTAGCACTCCAAAAGCTCTCCTGAATGTCTGAGGGTAATTTATTTCCACACAGACTCTCGCTCTTGAGTCACGACACTAGAGTGTCGCTGTTCGCTATCTGTCCCCCGTTTGAATAAACAGCGGCCTTTTAATTACAAGGGCTGGAGTTTCAAGGCAATAAATTCCATAGCGCGAGCACAGAGACTTGTTCCCTAATGTCACATGCACAGATATATTTACATAGAAACATGCGAGCAGCTGTCACAACACACACTGCATCAGACTATCCAGTGTTAAGCTCAGTACTTCCTGCTTGCGTGGAAGATAGCTTAATATATAGAGTACATATTACAAAAAACATCAAGATCATAAAGGAATACACCATGAACACTATTTTATTTTATTTCCAGCATCGAAATTTATAACACAAGAATATAATTTACCGTATTTGATGGATTGCCTCCGCAGCAAGACATGGCAGATGGATGAATCTGCTTTGAAATGCTCAACAACATTATAACAATAAAAGTGTTAAACAGCAATGACACCCACCACTCTGTTGTGCCGTACATCACTGAAAACAAATAACCCTCATCAACATTCATTCATTCACCTCTTTTACAGAGCTGCGTTCTTGGATGATGTTGTGTCAGAATTTTGCCTGCTGTGGACTATGTGAGATGGGCGTGCACGAGTGCGTGAGCATGTGTGTGTGTGTGTGAGTGCATGCATGCATGTGTCTTAGTCGGAGCTTGGTGTTGATTAAGTGTCTGGAGCCTGAGGGGGGATAATGAGAGCCTCTAATTAATGAGCCTGTGCATATCTCAGAGTCACAGGGTCCTATCTGCAGAGAACAACTCCACACACACACACATATATACACACATGCACATGCACACACACATGCACACACCTCAATACACCGTGGGGATCTTTCCCTGCACGCAACACTATTTTCTCCAGGGAAGCCCAGCTGGGAGTGTGTCACTCCGGCTGCTGTCCCTGATAAGTGTCCTCTAATAGGGATGGATGGGGGTTATGGAGCCCCGCTATGAGAAGGTCACATGCACTGACCACCCAACGTGCCCCGAGCAAAGGCTGATGTCACGGGCCCTGAAAACCATTCCAAATCTTATTTGTTTGCTGGGTCTTGTCCACAGGGAGCAGAATGGTTCATCTTCAGAGCAGACTTACGGCAGAGCAGATTGAAGGCAAAACACTCGCTCATACCAGGATGAATCAGTCAGGTCAGCCGGTGGAGTCACCACACACGATACGGTTAAATAAACCGTTCAAAGAGTGTGATGGTTTGCTATTGAATAACAAAAGCTGTTTTCTGAAGTGCATAAAATATGTATTTTTTAATATCTTTCCAGAGCATCTTCAATTCAGCCGCTGCCGGTCAGCAAGTTGCACACTCAGCAGAATACGCTACGAGCAGATCATCTCATTTTGTTTCGCATCACATTCAGTAACACTGAGACTGCGTAGAAGCAGCAACTCACATGAAGTCAGATTACACAAGGGACGCAGGTCGAGTGAGAGCCAACATTTCCAAAAGACCTGGATTCAATAACGGTGGTGCTAACTGCATTATTCTAGTCAATACACACATTAGCAAGTACTTTTGTCGATATGGGTTTACAAGTAAAAGAAGTGGCCAAATATGTATGAAAGAAGGCAGATGGAATTGTCTTCCCACAAATATCAGAGCATCATTCATTCCAGCTAAGTGCCCAAAAGCAGCATTTGTTTACAGTAAAATGACAAAGCCTTCTAGCAGCTGCAGTAATTATGAGTTTTGCCCGGAGGAGGAAGCAGTGGTGGCAGAAGTAGTTAGATCCTTTACTTAAGTAAAAGTACCAAGACAGCAAAGTAAAAGTAATCTATTACAAGCACGAGTCGTGCATTAAAAAACTTATGTAGGCAAAACACATTAGCCGCAAAACATTGTTAAAAGATGAAAGTAAAGACATACTATTATACACTGTTGCCCATAAAGTTGGAATAAACTATTGGTTTTACCTCTTGTTATGAAATGATTTATTCTTGATAGATAAAGTGTATGTCTTCTCAAAACTTTATTATATAAAAATAGACATACAATACATATCACAGTAAAAATTCAACCACAATTAACTTTTGCAAACTGTGTATTCAGGCTTAAACAAAATTTGGGTATTGAACAATAAGATTAAGGGTTTTGTTTCAATTTGTCAGCCTTGGTCACTTTAACAGGAGACACATATTTGAGGGGATTTCATGCATT